TTTCAGTTTTGGTTTTTTTTTGTTTTGTTTTTTTTACCATATTTGAATTGACTGTTTTGAGGCAGGAGGTGGAGCGGGGCTGAAATATCTTTTGAGCAAATAATTGTATATAGACACGGTGTTTCTGTGAAGAGAAACACAGAGGAAGCTCAGAAACATTATGGTATAAACTTTAATAATCTTTTGTAGCAGATGTTTCTCTCACATTTTGCTTGACACATGTTGACACATTGACAAATGTTAATCAAAGACTTGGTGGTAAAATGATAGTATCATATACTGCATTATATTGTAAAAATCTGTTTTTTCTGTATTACTGAAAAATAAAACAAAAACAAGGAAAGTTTAAAGAAAAAAACAGAAGTTTATTTTTTTCTTGAAATTATTTCAAACACATAATTTAATGTTATTACTTTAGAACCGTTTAGCATTGATGTTTATGGATGCTTGTTTCCTCCACCACAACTACAGACAGAAGTAAGCCAAACAGTCAAGTTATTGCAAACTGTTTTATTATTTTCTCAAAACCTTTGACTTAGTGGCTGATTATAACAAAATTTCAAATCACTTCAGAATAATTTTAATTTGCCCACAAATTTTTTGCTGCTTTTGGGTTCCATGGCAACAAAATTATTGTCTAAGGCAACACTACAATTTCCACACTATACTATATCCTCAAAACCTCAATTTAGAAAAAAATATACGTTCTTATAATGGAAGAAATAAAATACATAATAAAAATTGGGAGGAAAAAAAGGGGAGGGGGGAGTTGAATAAACAAACCATATAAAGGCTAAACAGACAAAATGTAAGTTTATTCAAATGATTTGGCTTTTTTCCTTCTTTTTATTCCCGCTGTCTTACTATTTATATTTCATTTCTGCACAGTTGGTGTGAAGCACCCAAAATTGTATTGTTGTGCAATGAGAATGAAGAACTATTCTATTCTTTTTTTCCCCAGATGTTGGCAAAGGCATCATTGTTCAATTTGGATCTGCATCTTTCCTCCATGAACACCTCCCTCCCTTTATACATGTACTGTCTCATCTCTGAACCAAGCTCCTTCATCTATCAAGCATTTAACATCACCACCATCTTCCTCGTCCTCCCTGTCTGCATCCTCATCCTCCAACATGGTCTCCAAGAATGGAGGAAAAAAGGCTCCACCTTCATGGAAGTACTGAGTCAATCTGACTGCTTCACCTACAACATCGTCATCATGGACCTGTTTGCTGTCTTTGGGTCTATCTTCGGCTATCATAGTAGCATCATTAATAATTTAAACATGTTATTCTGGGCATTCTTTCTTTATTGTGTCTGCTGGTTTGGACTGATTTTCTTTCACATGCTGACTTGTGTGGAGCACTACATGGCTGCTGTTCATCCCATCACTTATCGAAGCTTAAGGAAAGAAAGAGGAGTCAGAATCAGGATAATCAGCATAGGCTGTGTTTGGCTGCTTTGCTTTGCTATAGCAGGTTTCATAATTATAGAAGATATGATCCTCTCCATTGGGAATTTTTGCCTCTTGACATTGTCTTTAACCGTCTCCTCCTTCTGCAGCCTTTCTGTTCTTTATGTCTTAATTCATTCAGGCCCAAGAGACGAGAGCAGGAACAGGGACAGGGTTGATCAGTCAAAGAAGAGAGCATTTTACACCATTGTGACCATACTGGGAATGATGGCGTTGAAATTTTTTTGGGATCTGAATTGGTCTGTAGTGTATATCACAGGAGGACTTAATGGATGCATATTAATGTCATGGGGTGTCTGGTTCAATCTTCCTAGCAACCTCTTGTTGCCTTTGCTGTTTCTATACAGAAAAGGTAAATTTGTGTGTTGCAAGAACAACACGCAATGAGTATAAAGAAGAGCGCTTAGGAACATTTGGAGTTGTCTCTTCCTGTAGCTCTTGCAATGAGCAGATGACCCTGAGCAACCGATTGCTGAACACTGTGGCCCCTTTAATGACTTTGTGTTTACTGGCTCTTTCTCTGCTTATTTTTGATTTCCACTGTATTCCTGTGGGACTGAATTTCCAAGGAATGCTGCTTTTCTTGTTGTATTATTACACAGAGATAAGCACATCTTATGGTCCGGACGTTCCTGTTTTCTTCTCAATCTCACTTCTCAAAGATCAGCACATAATCAGCATCAGCTCAGAGTAGGTTAATTAGATATAATTCATGTGAATTGATTATGAAGATTACTATTTTAATAAGGAGAGACCATTAGAAAGAAATGGACATGCTTTATTGTTATACATAATATAAATAGAAGTATGTGGTGCTTAGACTCTGATGGCCCGTTTCTTCTGAACCGAACTCCAGCTGTGATAGCGAGCTGAGCAGGACCCCCTGGAGTCTAGATGCTGGTGTTGGAGATGAAGATGATGCCATGAATGGAGCCTTAGTGAAAAGGAAAAGGCGGTGATGGGGAGGAGGTGTGTTTCACAAAGGCATCTGCAAGGGAGCATGACAGAATGACAGTGAGATTGAAAGTAAGCGGCATGAATACTAAATGGCCTGAAGAAGGCCCGGAGAAAGATGATTGGACTAGACCAGTGATGTCACAAACAGCTTGACAGAGTGGGAAAGTGGACGTGAAGCCAACAGATTTACCCGAGAACACCTGGGAGCAGACAGATGTGAGACCACAGATGTTATTGAACTTAAGCTTTATTTGATTGTTGATTTGCATTCTTTTGTTTTCCTCCTGCTAAATTGCTTTAATAAAATATCCTGCATTCAAAATTCAAAATTGTGGACTTTTTAAAATTTTTGAAACAGTAAAGTTTAAATTCTGAGCACTAGTTTACATCTTATATATGATTCATACGGGTTACTCCAGCCTTCTAAAAGTAACAAACCCTCATGGCTTGCTTTTCCAAACCACTATATTAAACCACAGGGTTCATACTCTAGTCCTCGAAGGCCGTTGTCTTGAAACTTTTACATCTGTCCCTGCTGCAACACACCTGGATAAAATTCGTAGGACTTTAGCAAGACTATAGAACTTGACTGCATGTTGAGGTGGCAATTCAGCTATTTGATTCATGTTAGAGCACCTCAAATGTGAATGAACATGGTTTAATAAAAGTAGATTTAGAAATACCAGCCATCTGCTTTTCCTTTTCAGGGTCGCGGAGGGCGATGGAGCCAATCCCAGCTGTCATAGTGCGAGAGGCAGGGTACACCCTGGACAGGTCGACAGTCTGTCACAGGGCCAACACACAGGGACAGACAACCATTCGCTCTCACATTCACACCTAGTGACAATTTGGATTATCCAATTAACCTATCCCTACAAACTGCATGTCTTTGGACAGTGGGAGAAAGCCAGAGTAACCGGAGGGAACCCACACAAACACGGGGAGAACATGCAAACTCCACACAGAAAGACCCTGGCCTGATGGTGGAATTGAACTCAGGACCTTCTTGCTGTGTGGTAACCGTGCTAGCCACCGCGCCACCGTGCTGCCGATTAAGAAGCACATTTTTTTTTAAATTGCACTTTTATTTAAATTTACGTGAGTAGGGTTAGGGGCTGCCACCTCGGACTGCAGTTGCTAATGACCTACAATTTTTATTCAGGTGTGTTGCGGCAAGGACAGATGTTAAAGTTTCAGGACACCACTCCTCTTTTAAAGAGCTCTTTGATGGGACTAAGCCCAGCTTATGAGCTGCCAGTGCTTTTCTTCTGACACCAAGAGAGCTGTGCTGCAGGTTTCCCTGATTTACTCTATCAGTATTTCATAATGTGGACAAACTTAAGGGTACTGTTAAAGCTGCACTTGATTTTCTTTAGACATGTTAGGGACCAAACATGTCTAGAGTCTGTGCAGAGGGGATCTCTGATGGTTTATTGTTCTGTGTCATGTCTCCAGTGTTTGCAACTGCAAAGCAGAATCCAGAGAGAAGAGACTGGTTTATAGATTTTATTTACAGGAATCAAGATTTTAATAGCGCTTGAGCTCTATTAAAAAGCAAAAAACATATAAGAAGTATTAAGAAACAGGGCCGAGGCTCTGCTGACTAAACTATCAAAATGAGAGCATAGTGACATGATTGGTTAAATATGTTTGAGTAGCTGTTCAAATACCTGAAATTCCTAACACCTATGTGTGAAATATTACTAATGTATTTCAGGAATCCAAAACACAAATTATGCCTGGTTTCCGTAGTGTTGTTTATTTTAGTTGTGAATAAAGATAAATATAACTGTCTAAACTGATGTTTGAATGTTTGGAAACATGTTCGTTAAGTGCAAAGATTATTAGTAGGAAAAAAAAGTGTTCTTACAGCAGCTTACCACCATTTCAGTTTTTTACTAGTTGTGCAGCAACCTAATTTTAAAAGATGATTCCTTTATTACTGGAACCCAACCAGTTTAACTGGTTTCTACAGGAAGTCAGTTTGGAAGATGTTCCTTTTCCCGCAGCAGTCTTCCAAATTGCAACACTATTCCAAGGCTTTTTATGTGAGATATTCAAAGGAAGTGTGAAATTTTCCATAGGAAAAAAAAAACATTTAGCTGAACTTAAATTTCAAACATTAGTGTGAAAAAGATTCACAGCATCATAATTAAATATTTCTCACTAAAATAGCTGAAATGAAATGAACTGAAGTTCATCATGTCTCCTAAAAGCTGAAAGAGAGGCTGAGAAATGAGGAGACTTCAGAGGTTTTGATATATGATATATGAGCCAATGACGAGTGTTCTCAGGACTAAACACATGAAATGATCCGTATTTGTTTTCCTGCATTAAAATCTGCTGCTGAGTCTGCTAAACAACCAGAAAAACGTCCCTTTTGAACGTGAAGTTTCTGCAGCACCACTGAATGAGACTTTCTTTTCTAAGATTCAGAAAGGTCTTCATGTTGGGACATGTGCAGGTGAAGTATCTGAACTCAGGAATGAGAAACACTCTTATTTATGAGTGAAGCAACAGCTAAGCTCCGCCCCTCACATGACTCACCTGAGAAAAACTAGGCAAAAGGATGTTATTCATACGTAGTAAAGAGAGACAAAGAGACGATCAGACAGAGTTCAGATCAAACTAGTTTCATCTGAGCTACAGGAGAGAAAACTGGAAAACTCCCACACTGCTGCTTAAAGCTGCTGACGCTCCACACACTGAATGTGAGTTTGAGCAGAACTCCTGTCTGCTGTTTTCAGCTTCACTCACAGACTCAATGGCTTCCAGATCAGAGGACGATCTCTGCTGTCCGGTGTGTCAGGAGGTCTTCAGAGATCCTGTTATTCTGTCATGTAGCCACAGCTTCTGTAAAGACTGTCTGAAGAGATGGTGGAGAAAGAAAACAACACACGAGTGTCCAGTTTGTCAGAGAAGATCTTCAGGGAATGATCAACTTGTAAACCTGGCTTTAAAGAACCTGTGTGAGTCGTTCTTAGAAGACGGAGATCAGACAGCTTCAGAGGCTCTCTGCAGTCTGCACTCTGAGAAACTCAAACTCTTCTGTCTGGACCATCAGCAGCCAGTGTGTCTCATCTGCAGAGACTCAGAAAAACACACCAACCACAGTTTCAGACCCATCGATGAAGCTGCACAACAACACAAGAAGGAACTTCAGGAAACTCTGGAGTCCTTAAAGAAGAAGTTGATGGTTTGTGCAGAACTTCAAGTGAAGTTTGATCAAATAGCAAAACACATTAACGTCCAGACCCGACACACAGAGACTCGGATTAAGGAAAAGTTTAAGAAGTTTCGCCAGTTTCTAGCAGAGGAAGAGGAGGACAGGCTGGCTGCACTGAGGGAGGAAGAGGAGCAGAAGAGTGGGATGATGAAGGAGAAGATGGAGTCCCTGAGCAGACGCATAGCTGCTCTTTCAGACACAGTCAGAGCCACAGAGGAGGAGCTGAGAGGTGAAGACATCTCATTCCTGAACAACTACAAGGCTGCAGTGGAAAGAGTCCAGCACTGCCCCCTGCTGGATGATCCACAGCTGCCCTCAGGAGCTCTGTTAAACCAGGCCAAACACCTGGCCAATCTGACCTTCAACATCTGGAACAACATGAAGGACATGGTCTCCTACACTCCTATCATTCTGGACCCAAACACTGCTCATCCAGAACTCATCCTGTCTGAGGATCTGACCAGTGTGAGACGAGGAGATGAACAACAGCTTCCTGATAATCCAGAGAGGTTTGATCGGTTCTACTCCGTCCTGGGCTCTGAAGGCTTTGACTCTGGGACTCACAGCTGGGATGTCGAGGTTGGATACAGTACATGGTGGAACCTGGGTGTGTTTGCAGAGTCTGTGCAGAGGAAGGGAGACAGATTGTCTGGATTATGGAGAATAAGGTTCTATGAAGGTAAATATTACGCGTGGTCACCATCAGCTCCAGACACTGCTCTCTCAGTACAGAAGAAGTTTCAGAGGATCAGAGTGAATCTGAACTGCAACAGAGGAAAGCTGTCGTTCTCTGATCCTGATACTAACACACACATACACACCTTCACACACACTTTCACTGACAGGATGTTTCCATTCATTAACACTGTGGTTGGTAAATTGAAGGTTCTGCTGTAGAAGGTGTCATTGTCAGTGTCAATTAATTCATTATAATTATATTTTAATGTTGTTACAAACCTGTTAAACTGCAGCTGTCCACCTGCTGCCTTATTGTTCCAAAGCTCTTTATTACTCACACTGTTCTCACTCTTTCTTTGTTTCTGCTGTCCACTTTTTCACATGGAAAATCATTTCACTGTTTCTTGTTGAATGACCCCCAAACTACATTTAAAATTTTATCAAGTTTTTAATCTGTGATGATGTCAGAAGTTAGAAAGCTATCTGACCAACCAGCAGCACACAGTTTATTTTATTGGCAGTTTTTTTTGAAGACATGTAATGTGTATGGGCAATGTGAATACAATATTACATTTATAACCTTGATGATGGAACTAAAGTATAAGAAGAGATAGGATATGTAGACATTTATTAAATAGAATTACACTGGAGAAGAAATGATGTTTCTAGAATGATGCATTGTGATATGTAAACTGTGTCCAATATAAACTTTGATTATTGTTTCTCTGTAATTAATATTTCTGAACACTGGATTGCCATAATCACATGATTAACTCTGTCTTTTCTTTGTTTTATCTTTGGAATGATTTTTTTTTAAACTAATAAAAACAAACATTGACAATCAGCAAACAATTTATGATGACAAGATCCTTTTTCTGAAAAGTCAAGCCACTGCACTGAGAAAAACTAACCAGGCTAAACACATTTATCTGAAGTTTGCCTCCATGGATGATCACAGGACCATCAGAACAAAATGAGCATGTGTGAAGAACCCAAGAAATACTTCTCCCTTTCAGCATGACAGGAAAACAGGAACAATCAAACAGATTTCAAGCACAATAACCAACTGTGACCTCAAGATGGCACCAGCTGATCTGAGATGCTTTATTGCACAGAACACTGCTGCTCTGAGAAGTCATCAGAGATTGCCTTGTGTTTTCTGACAACTCCCAGATGAATGCAGATGAACATTAAATGACTTCAGCCTTACACCAAGAAGGCAGGGCGGATTGATCCAAATATCAATAGTATCAATCTTGAAAGGGGATTTGTGAAAGAGAAAAAAAGGCTGTTTGAAGGAAATGAAAGCAGGAGAGCTGTTAAAATGAAAATAAGACCACCGTTCTCAGCATGTCTGCATGGGCAGTGGAAAGTTCTATACATTTAAGTACTCGTAAAACTCAACCCCACTATAAATGAGGGGAAGACATTGTTTAGTCCTACTCTGTCCACTTCTCTGTACACTGCGATGTAGAGAACACAACTGCTTGCAAGTAAAACCTTTTCTGAGACACTGTGATCATTGCTTAAGTATTTTGATGAAAAATTCTTCTGACTGTATCAGATCCAACATTAAATGACAATGATGTATGTAGGAAGAAAATTCTTCTGATTATAAGGTGAAGTGTAGCTAATGAGCTGCCACAGCTTTTTTTTTTTTTTTTGTTAATACAACAGTTGATGCCCAGAGAGCTGCGCTGCAGGTTGCAGCCCTTGGAATGTGGAGCGAGGTGCATGTTTTAAGTTGATATCATTCATTAAATCCTGAATCGATTTTTAAATATAAATGTATTTTGCCATAAACGTCAGAATCTCAGGTGACCCAGTGTTTTGTGTTTGATTTATACTTCTTGAGTATTGTTAGAGAAGTTACATCCAGATGAAAAGAATCAGCCTTTTGAGATTCACTTACCTGAGTGATTCTGGGATTACAGGTAAACATAGAGTTCTGATCAATCTGCTGATCATGCAACTATTTCACTGTTAATTCATCATTGCCACATGTCTTTATTTGAATGCAAATACACTATGTTTGAATTATACTTGGAGAGACAGAGTGGGGTGGAGTGCAGCTCTATTGTGTTTTGAGCAAATAATCAAATGAACAGGAGTCAACAGAGAAGAGAAGCGAACATAATCAAAGGTTGGTGTTCGTTTGATTTTTATAAAATTAAGTGAAATTACTAAAACAATATTTATTTGTAATAGTACTGTATGGTTTTTTAAAATTCTGCAGTTTTCTGACTAACTGTGTACTAACTGTGCACCATGAACACTGCGCATAGACAGTTTAAATGCCTTCTCATCTTTCATGTAGTAACATGTCATGCTTATGCATGAAATAAACATAACAAGAAACAAAGAAGGGTACCACAAAGTTTATATGTGTTTAAGTTCTTTAAGTTTAAGTTCAGCATATTGTGAAAGAAAATAAAAAAAACTTGAAAAGAATCCTTGATGGACATTTTAATGTGCTCTAAAAACATGCAGCTTTGCATATTTCCTGCTACTGAGGAAATATGTCATACAAAACTAACATCACAACAGAGGTGAGACAGTGACAGATGATGCCTTTAATGCCTCTGGTTCATTTGAATATGCCAAGCTCTGCACATGATTTAAATACTAAACACTTTTTGTCCTAATGAATGGACAAAATAAACTGCAGCAGGTGGATCAAGCCAAATGAGGCGCATCTTGCATTTTGTGCAGTGTGTGGTAGTCAATAAAGAAATGCATGACATGGGTGAAGATTTAGGTGTGTGTGTCTATGTTATGCATGTGTATGACAAAATAATTTCCAGGAGATCCTCTGTTGTTTCTATACAGAAAGGGTAAATTTGTGTGTTGCAAGAACAACATGCAAATAAATTAAAAAAGCACATGTGTTAGGGTACATTAAGAAAAAAATTGATCATCGTTGTTCATTTTGAGAGAAAATTTGAAATTGAATTGAATATTTGAAAACTGTTGCTGTTTCAACATAAACTGCCTATGTCATTGATCATTTTGAGAATAAAGTTGAAATTTCAAGTAAAA